GCTTGAGAGTCACTGGACTACTGTTGAATGACAAAAAGGGAAAATGGAGAACGAGATAATGCGGATCCTAATGTGAGGCGTCATCCTGCCGTGTTCTCTGCATATTATCCTCTCCTCGTTTGTCCATCTCTTTTTCCATCACACGTGTAATGAAAGCAAAGAGAACACAAGGCCTGCTCACTTACACCTTTTTCCAGGACACGATATCTGGTGGGAGGATATTAAATATTAACTCTCCACAGCCGCCAGGGCAATGCTTAGCTCGGTAAATGAGCACGGGCGGGAACGTTGCTGTGTGTTTGTCGTTTATTATTAGCGTCGGCGGGAGATCTAACCACAGTTTATGCAAACAGGAAGCAAGGCAGGATTTCCCTGTGTCTGAATTGGTCATCATCAAAATCTAATTAGTTAGCTAACTAGCTAAGTAACACAAGACACAGTAGCCTGATGGCCTTCAGTATTTGTCGCACTTTTCTCAGATTTGTGGTTCGAATCTCGACACGGGCCCTGTGCTTGCGTGGGTTTTCTCACCCAGTCTTCCTATCCACTTCCCAAAAACATGAATGTTAAGTTAAATGAAGACTCTAAATTGTCCCTAAATGTATATGAATGTGAATGTTAGTCTCTTTGTGCCCTGCGGTTGGTTGGCAACCAGACCACTGTGTCCACTGCGTCTGCAAAGTCAGCACGAATAGGCCGCAGCACACCCGTGAACCTAATTGACCCTCAAGCACTGCAGGAAAGAGATGGATGGATGAAGTCATGGAAGATGGAGTACTACAGATCCACAAGTTAAAGGGGTCAAAATGCTTCATGTGTGCTGTGTTGGTCATCTCGAGTACACCACACACTGTAGGAGCACACACAATGGTGTTTTGTTTTTTTTTTCTCTCATCGTGAAGGTCTCTTGCAAATGAAAAATCAGGTAAGATGTAGGGCAATGGCGTGTCCGTACCTTGCTTAAAGTTCCGACGAAAAAGGGTGCTATTTTCATTTAAAATAATTTATTTTTACCTCTGGGATTCCTTGCCGCATTCGAGCCAACGGCAGAACCCAGGGTGTGGGTGTGTGTGTGTGTTTTTTGGGTTTTTTTGCTTTTGGAAGTTTTATCCGTCTTCTGTCGTAGCAGCTAGCTAGTGCTAAGCTAACCTGGGATGGTTCATCTCTCCGGTCAAATGTCCAAACCTGCAAACTCCATTCGTGCCAGGACAGCGTGAGAGGCCAACAGCAAAGTAACGATGAAGCCATTGATACACTGGCTAGGTGGGATTTATTGACTAACTATTGAACAGTTTTCATGACCCAGCTAAACATTCTGACATTTTTGGGTGTCAACAGCATGCGTTAATTGATTCCCACTCTGAAAATTCATATTCAGCGTTCGTTTTTAACAGTCACTTCACGTGTCAATTCGACTCACCACCCATTCGTTGCACAGCCCTTTAGGATTTAGAAACAAATCTCCGAAATCAGTAGGGCATTGAAGATATAGCGACAATAGCATTATCAGCTCATCAAAAGTGAGCACTATCATCTTAGCAAAGTCAGAGTTTGTACTGTATTGAAGTATGTGGTGAATGAAAAGCTATTTCCTCATTTACACCGACGCCAACAATCACACACAGGTGCTATTGCCTCACTGAGAATATTCACAACTAAGGCAAAGTGCAGGGTGTGCCTCATTCCCACTTTTTCATAACATGAGACACCACGTTGAGTCTGGTCTCTATCTGCATCTCACTGGTGTCATCACGTCTCTATCACATCTCCTGCCAGCATGGGGGCAACAAAGCGGGCGGGGATGGAAAAGGTTGAATGTTCAGGTGTTTTATCGCCCGTCATGCTCGGTCTGTTCTCTGCACAAAACACGCCCTCTGTTCAGTTTTGCCGTTGTCATTTGTAGTCAGCGTGATTAATTAGCTTGACGGCCTGGTCCGTGCGTTCAGCTTGATTAAAGCCGATGTGGGTGAGCGAGCGTTACACTACACAACCCATACTGGGGGAATGGGGAGGTGGCTCGGTTGTTTGTTGTGGTTGTTTCTCCCTTAGAAATACTCCATGCTGTATTCTTTAGGGGTTTTCAGGGTTTGGATTTCCCCAGCAGCACATATTGCCCACAGTGATGACTCCGAGTCTGGCCTGTCACCTTTCGGGATGCTGTTCATGTATCACGTTGACTTGTTTTACTCCCTCGGGTGTGATTATTCAGTGCCTAGAAAGCCACTTCTAATGAGTCAAATGTGAGCCTTTTCATCCATCACTCTTTCTCTTGGGGGCCAAAGCGAACTATTTTCAGGCAATGTCCTGCTCGAGTTTAAATGCTGCCCTGGCCCTTTGATGGCTGTTGGAGTTCCCTGAGTCTTTATCCAATCCCGCAAGGTATCGCTCTGTTTTTAGGCCCAGTCCCTGCAAAGGACAAGGTGGGTGTGAAAGGATTCACCTGTCAAGTTTCATTAAAGTGTGTCAGTGTTAATGAGCGGAAATAATCCCGCCCGTCGCAGCCATCCACAGTGACCTTGTACTGGATCTCACAGATTGAGGACTAATGGGCGTGGCATACATCGCCTCTATAACCTGCTTAACCTCTGGCGCTGTGACCAGACCCTATTGTCCTCAGGAGATTAGATCATAACAAGATGACTGAAAGGTTTCCACGACTCGTTTTTGAAACATTTTGGGAATAGTATTGCTACCACTCTGACAGGTTTTCCCAAACCTTTTGAGCTCAAGATCTAAATTTGAAAGTTTGATTCCTCCAAGACCCACACAAGTACATCATGTATTGTCATAATTTCAACATGTACGTAACACAAGAGGGAGTGATGTTATACTGTATATTATTGCAGCTGTGATTCAGTGGTAGGCACAAGGCCGCAGTACAACACTTCTAATTTAGTGGTTCACAGTAATAATTTATTTAATCATTTGGCTCCACCAACATAAATGGTACACACAGTGGCGTTAGCCGCAGAGGTAGCCGTTAGCACGATATGCTAACTAGCTAAAGCGTCAGCATTAACCCATACAAAAATATGAAAGAATTTAAGGTTTATGTAACTCTGTCTCTTTAATACCGCGAGTTGGCTGATTAGTCCACTATATGTCAAGTAACATTATCCTAATTCATCATTTAGTGGGCACGCCACGACAGGCATAAATTACACAACGTAATCCAGAAAAGCAAAATGAAGCCTACTGATGACTGTGCCTTTTTGTGCCCAGAAAATGTCTAGCCCAGAGCACGGTCTAATTCAGAGCATGGGTGGAGTTTTCTTTTTTTTTCTTTTTTCTTTTCGTGTTTTCGTAAATTTATGCCTTTAGAAATGGCTGTTTGCACCGTTGTGAGTGTGAACACAGCCCACTACACGCGTTCAAAGTACGTTCATGAGGAAATGCAAACTGATCTCCACTTTCGGATGATGTAAGGTTGGCCTCTGCGAAGAGAGCATGCGCCACTGTCTGAGTACTTTATAAATGCTTCTTTACAGTCTAGTAGTAAAGTAGTGGCAACAGTTTCTGTCAGACAATTCCAGTGAAATATTGTACATTATGCAATACGTTTGAAGACAAATTAGTATCCCATTTTCCTCCTCGCTCACTAACTTCGTCCTTGAGTGCTCCTCTCTGCTAAAGAGCAAAAATACAGTATATGTGTAGGTGCCCAAGAGACAACGTTAGCTTTTTCCGTATTTCTTTTGAAATGCAGACGTCGGGTTTGATCAATGCTTTGGAGAAAGAACTTAAATAGGTCATGAAGTGATAAATTACTTTTTTAGATGCCCTCTCAAATGGGAGTGACTGACACAAGTGCAGTTCAAAGTGTGGAATGTAGTTCGCCATATGTTCCAGCTTCTTCTTGTGACATTGTTTAACTTTGTATTTGCATGCCATTGGAGAGTTCATTATCAGACATGATGCGCAACTTGGCTCGACAATACAGTACTTGTTTGTTTCGTGTTGGTGATTTGGCTTTGAAAATGTAAGCTTGTCGAGCGCTGGTTCAAGGTTTTGAGAAGGACAAGCTGAACGTAACGCAGACGGCAGGTAACAGCTGAGATGTTGTTTTTTTAACCCATTTTTTTATTATGACCTTGCATTTTGTGTGCAGTGCCCAATATGACATTTGAATTCAGACATTTCATCAGATCTGTCAACCTGACAAAAGACAATATCTTTTTTTCAAAAAGCAACAAAGACTTCCTGAGGTGTAAATAACTTGGAATATGAATAAAGCAACAGACGCTTTACCAAGATTAAGGTTAAAAAAAAAAAAACTGTATATATATATATATATATATAGAGAGAGAGAGAGAGAGAGAGAGAGAGAGAGAGAGAGAGAGAGAGAGAGAGAGAGATTTGTGGGAGAATAGTATAACAATATGTATATAATAGAAATACACATACAGAATTGTTTAATATTAACATTAGAATACCTTAACTCGCAAGTAAACCTTGACGTACATTGACACTAAAAAGCTTGAAGTTTAGAATTTGAAGGGGCCTTAGTTACACCAAAAAGGGGTCTATGTCCAAGGAACCAATTATGGCTCCTGACTAGGGTCATGTGACTTTCATTCACTATAGTGATAAAGATCAGTCGACTCTGATGAAAATTTGGAGTTGCCAAAACACAGATGCACTATTTAGTGTCATCCACCAATACATTAACATCTTAATAAGAAGGGTCTTTTTGACCCTTTCCTGCACCCAGTAACCTGATAACTTGATAAGCTGTCCACTGTAGTAACCGCTGTCACTGAAAGGGTTAAAATAGCATTTTGTTAAACTAGTACTTTTATTATGTGAAAGACAGTGAGATCGTGCAAAGTCAATGTATCTCTGTGAGGCAAATTTGCAAACTGCTGTGGCACGGTACAGCTCCCATGTGATCTAATCGAATTGTATTATGAGCCAACAGGGTCCTTGATGGACCAAAAGGAATGAATATGGCTTCTTTCTCCGTTGATTTGGTTGTGTGGTGTGTGTGTCGTTACTTCCAGATTCTGGCCATTATCTCCATCCTCTTCATTGTGCTGTCCACCATCGCCTTGTCCCTGAACACGCTGCCAGAGCTGCAGGACACGGATGAGTTTGGTCAACCCACAGACAACCCTCAGTTGGCCCACGTCGAGGCCATCTGCATCGCCTGGTTCACCATGGAGTACCTGTTGCGCTTCCTCTCTTCCCCCAACAAATGGAAGTTCTTCAAGGGGCCCCTGAACATCATCGACCTGCTGGCCATCCTGCCCTACTACGTCACCATCTTCCTGACGGAATCCAACAAGAGCGTGCTGCAGTTCCAGAACGTCCGACGCGTGGTGCAGATTTTCCGGATCATGCGCATCCTGCGTATTTTGAAGCTGGCTCGGCACTCCACGGGGCTTCAGTCGCTGGGCTTCACCCTCCGCAGGAGCTACAATGAGCTGGGTCTGCTGATCCTTTTCCTGGCCATGGGTATTATGATCTTCTCCAGCCTGGTGTTCTTTGCCGAGAAGGACGAAGAGGACACCAAGTTCAAAAGTATCCCGGCCTCCTTCTGGTGGGCTACGATTACAATGACCACGGTGGGATATGGAGATATTTATCCCAAAACGTTACTGGGAAAGATAGTAGGGGGGTTATGCTGCATTGCGGGCGTGTTGGTGATTGCCCTGCCGATCCCCATCATTGTCAACAACTTCTCCGAGTTCTACAAAGAACAAAAGAGGCAGGAAAAAGCCATCAAAAGGAGGGAGGCCCTGGAGAGGGCAAAGAGAAATGGCAGCATTATCTCCATGAACATGAAGGACGCCTTTGGCCGCAGCGTAGAGCTCATGGACATCATGGTGGAAAAAAAGGATGACAAAGCGGGAAAGAAGGTCCAAGTGAATCATGTATCTCATAGCCCGCAGAAAGGGAAACCCCAAGTCAGGTCGGAAACGAGTCCCAGCAGCGGCAAGCACCACCTGGAATCGTGTCACCAGGAGCAAGCCAAGCCTTCGGGAAGCCCTCAACATCTCAGTGCTCAGACTCTGGAGGAAATGTACGACACCATGGCCAAGACTCAGTCGCAACCCGACCTCAACAGCAAGGAAAAGGCGCTGTCTAAAGCCCCGCGTCACCGAGCGGAATTCGAGATGGGAGCCGTAACGGATGTGAGGAGCATGTCCAGTATCGACAGCTTCATCAGCTGCGCCACCGACTTCCCAGAAAGCTCTCGTTTCAACATTCTCGGCAGGGTCAGCACAAATCCGAGCCTGGAACCCACTTTGGAGAATGAGAATGAAGGCAGTGCCACACCCCTGAGCGGAAGGGGCTCCAAGGATCTCCGTTGTAGCAATCCAATCAAGGGCCCTTCGGTCAGGGTGACCTTCAGAGGAGGGCGGGATTCGGGGGTTGGGGTGCTCTCCGATGGCTCTTCAGTCCAGAGCCCGGAGGTGTCCGTCTATACTACTGCGAGCAGCAGGACGCCCAGCAAGAGTCCGGAGAACTTACCTCCACACATCTTCACATTCCACGACGCTTCCATCCACAAGTTCATCGACGCCGACACGGACGAGGAGGAGCATCTGCACGACGCATCGGTCATCAGCCCGGCGCAGAGACTCCTGGACAGAGCCAGTCCCAGATTTGGGTATAAGGGAGCCAACCACATGGAGGGCTTCCAGAGGAAGCTGGGCAGTCATCGCGCGTGGATGCGAGATGGACAGGAGAACCACCTGGCTGAAGTACGGCCACTTCAGGGAGACAAGAGTCATTCAAAAACGTAAACGTGACACGAGTGAGTGCACACAGAAACAAGACAATGGAGAAGTGCAGTGAACTCTGATTTAAAAAATAATAATAATTATCAAATGACTGGCATTTCAAACATGTGAAGGAGTCGTCGAAAGAGAGAGCACAACGTATCCCGTGAAAAGACTTGTGGATGATCGGAATGTCGTTTATGTTCTGCTTACTTCTACATTCGTTCATTTAGCTCAGAGCCACCCTCTTTGTTCGAGAATTTAGAAGGATTTTGTACGAAAAGCAAAACTCGACAGACGGGTAAACGAATGGCATCGATAGTCACAACGTTATAACATTCAAGCAACAGATATTTGACCACAAAAGGTGAAGGAACAGACATATATTCTTTATCCTCTGCAAAAACATTATAACTGCAGCTTATGGTGTTAGTTGTGAAACTTTTCTTCGTTTATTATCTTCGTCTGCTTATAAAAGCTCAAATGCAACAGTGCATAACGTTTTCAGCCATTATTCCGCTAAATTTTTCCTGAGAACGTGCTAAAAGACAAGCAATGCCCTTTTGAACATTTTTACTCTCAATGTATAATTGATTGGAATGCTCTAGATTGGGCTGGAATTTTGGCAAAAGATTGTTTGCTCAAAATATGAATCCGTTTCAAAATATGGAGAAAAAAATGCTGATTATTTCATACATATCTCTAGCACGACCACATCCAGTCTTTTGTCACTTTTTTTGTGTCCTCTACAATTACAAGTTTCACATTCATCAAATACATTTGAATCTTATCGCAATTTTTTAAAACATCTTAAACATTTGGGGATTGATTGTGTGTATTATTTTGACATACTTATCATTGCACAGTGACCCAGATTTCTACCATCGGGGAAATATGACAAATATGATGTTCCAGAAATGATTGATTGTGGCATTACTTTGGTTCCGATGTATAGTTTGCCACTGTTAGCCTCTTTCCTCAAAAACTGGCCTTAGTTGATGTTGTCCAGAGTTTGGGACTCTCTATAAGTTGAACAGATGCAACGCGAATGAGTGTGTGCAATAATTATCTTTCATAAACAATGTACCTATTGTTATGTCCGCTCTCGGTCTCTCAAGTTGTGTTCCTTAGGAGTGCTTCTGTCCGTTTGTGTTTGTACTTGTTTTGCACATTTAGAAAAATGGCAAGGCCTCTTGACACCCCTTATCCCCCGAAAAGACGGCACCTTAACGTGAGAAAAACTGTACGCGTTCACGCAGGGCACCACTTTTTAGCTGGATAGTCGATGCTGAAATTGTTTTGTGGGGATATTGTATAATGTATTACTTCAAAAAAAGTAGGATAGTACATCCAATACATGTTTATTGTACAAGGAAAAGAAAAGAATTTATATTTTTAAGAGATTTTATTAAAAAATAAATAAAAAATGGACTCTTAGATATACTGTCCTAACCTCATAGTTGTACATTTCGGTGTATGAAATGCATTATTTTGGACTTGCATTGATCGGACAATAGTAAACAGTAGATACCTTTGTAATGTTTGCTTATGTGTCCTTGTGTAAACGACGTCTCTCCCTTTATCCTTTGTGCAATACGAAGAACCAAAGACAAACTACTCTCTGATAGCTCATTGAAGGTGACGACTTTGTCTGCAACATCCAGTAGAATAAATGTACGAGTTACTTCAGGGAGCTCATTTATTTGCCGCGAAATCAGTGAAATGAATATATTAGAGCAGTGGTCCCCAACCCCCGGGCCGCGGACCGGTACCGGTCTGTGGGTCATTCGGTGTCGGCCCGCACAGAAAGGATCAATAACTTGCATTACTTCCGTTTTATTCAATTCGGAATCTGAACGATGTTTTATTTTGAAAAATTACCGGATTCTCTGTTACAGTATGTCACTCTTGATGCGGGTGAAGGTGCGCTTCTCGGTCACGTGATAGGTTACCGCTAAAATGAAACCTAGGAGCTAGCAAAATGAGTTAAAAACTAAGGTCTTGGAAAGTTTTGGGGGAAGAGGAAAAGTCCCAGCCAGGAGGCAGAAGAGGAGTTACGACTTTCAAGAAAAAGAAGGCTACATTTAATAGACAGTATTAGGAATCCTACTTAAAATACGGATTTATCTCGACTAGAGATTCCCACGCACCAAGCCCATATTTTTCATGCACTTTTTATCTGCAGTCTATCTTATTTTGAGGGCGCGTTTAAACGTTAGCATAGCGACCAGAGAGTGTTGCGGCCAGATAGAACGTTCCTCTTGTCATAATTCTTGTTTATTATTTTTGGAAAATACCACAGTTTTCATGCGGGTCATATCATGTTATTTTGTTGTATTTATCAGCAATAATGATTTTTTTTTTTAATCAGATATGGAATTTCCAGTGACTTCAATGAGTAGCCTTGACTAGTGTTTTAACATTTACACAGTAAAATGAAAGTGGCTCCAATCACAAACACACTCTAAAGTGGACAATCACTGTTTCCATGGCGACTGGGTGGCTCACGATTGATGCGAGCAAGGCTCTATCTAATTGGTAGTGACGAAGTCCTCCAACACCACCAAAGGAAAAGAATATACATACCTATGTAAATAATGATGGATACACAAAGTCATTGTACCTTCTGCAATCAATTGGAAGAGCATTTAAAATAAAGAAATAAAAGAATTTTGTAAACAAACTGTCAAATTTGAATGATGAAAAAAAATGACCGAGTATATAAAATGAAGCTTCAAAGTTGTGAAAAATCATGCCGTTCTGTCTCCTCTCAGATTCTGGCAGCCTGTCTGTTGAAACCACGCCCCACTCAAATATCAGCAAACACCACTATGACCTAGCAAAACGGATGCTACTTTGTCTAGCTGCTAGTAGGTGCTAGACTCTAGCACCTCATGCCTACACATAAACAAATACATGTTTGAGATGTGAAAAGATAAAGCCTCCAGTAGCTGCAATATATCCACCTGCGCGGGGCTTTTCCACACCGTGACAACGAGGCGCTCTAAAACAGCCACACACCAGAGCAAAGGTACCAAGTCAGATTTTTGTTTTATACGCCCCCAACTTTCTCTGGGTTGGGTGAACCGTTTAATTAAATCCTATATAGTTCTCAGTCTTTACAATTGATTTAAGTTGTGAGCAATTTGGAAAGGAAATCTCAGAATTCACTTCACAGGGTCTGTCATGTTTTTGCCTGTCACTATACATCACTGGTCTAGCTAGATAAAGATACATTAGTTGTAGTTAAACAGAATATAATTTTAGGACCAATGAAGTTACATTGGATAAGACATCTGATGATTTCTTTTTTGTTGCTATGTCCAAAACAGGTCATGATCTTAAGTAACCAATCAAGAATGACCACAGCATTTTCAGCCACAAACTAAATCTTTACCTCACTGCATAGAGGCATTGAAGGTGAAATTTGAATGGGACTGGAGCAAGGCGAGCTGTCAGCCTGATTACGACTGAAGTCCGTGATGAGTGCAGTGCAGTCTTCTTTGAATCACGAGGACATCGCTTGCATTTCTTCTGCTCTTTTGGAAACAAAGACGCGGGCCAATGTACCGTCAGTGTGAAGTATAGCTCAATAATACGCACAGCACATGCACTCTAGTTTTCATTTTCAAAACCCGCTCGGGTCCTTTGTGCAGAATGGCGATGCAAAAATTGCCTCTGGGTTGAGACATCCTTTGTGAGGATGCGTGATCGTTCTATAAATATCATGGCAGGCATGCAACTGGATGGTCTGGGACATTAGAGGGGGCTGGTTTACACCAGTGTCTTTAGACGAAGGGTGTCATGGAGTTCCATGGAACGAACTTTCTAACTCGGCGAACTATTGAACCCACGGGAAATGATACAAGCTGTCACTGGTGAAGGAGATTTGTGGCAGCTCAGCCATGAACTGCACATAGGAGATCGCTGCACATAATGAGACAAAGGCCTTGGTCTCGGACCCATCTTTCATTTACCTCGTGAAACGTATGGGACGTTTACGTGACAACACTCTAGTTGGCGATCACGATGGAGTCCCGCCAGGAGTCATGTAAACGGCACGTAACTGATGAAGGTTTTTCAGTGACGAGAGATACCACAAAATGGCGCCAAAGCACTTTTTTTATTAGACGGTGTCCTCATATCAACATACTGTAGTTCCTTGTGGGGTCGCCGATTGTGTAGCGGTACACTCGTCTGAGTTGTGTGTGGGGCGCGTGGCATCGGTTCCCGCTGAGTGACAGTGTGAATGGTCGTTTGTCTCTATATGTGCCCTGTGACTGGCTGGCGACCAGTTCGGGGTATACTCTGCCTCCTGCCCGAAGTCAGCGGGGAAAGGCTGGATAATTCCGGGTGTACAAAGATGCCACAAGGTGGCGCCAAAACACAGTGTATACACAAGACGGGGTATTTCAGAAAGAGTCCAAAAATAGTGAATAGGCAAAGATGACAACAGTCTCCACATGATCCCGCAAACGTTTTAAAATGATTCATCAAAATTTGGGCGTACCAAAAAAACTGGCATTTCAACAAGGGCGTGAAGACATTTTCTATCCACTGTGGCTGCATAGGGCCATTTTTTTTCCTCATTCACTTCCTGTAGGAGTAATAAATTGGTGTCCCACTAGTTTGGTCCACATGTCAAGCAGATAAAGTGGTCGTAATGAGAAAGGGCTGTCGTGCCAAAGAGTGAAGTTTCATTCGTATTCACCACAGTCACACAAACTGTACATGTTGACAAATCTGTGTGGACAAGAGCCTAACAGAATTTCTTTTAAACAACACATAATCTACTTAAATGATTATTTAGTTCTCATATGGATTAACTTCCGATGTCCTTGCTCATTTGTTTACTCTTATGTCCTGTTGTTGAGCGCTACCTATAGTTGATTTTTTTTAAATGTATTTTTACTGCCTGAGAGCTAAAAGATTGTCGTAACTTAATCTCAAAGCACAACATGCCACACAAGAGGTTGAGGCTAAATCCAAGCACATGTTCCAATTGAACCAATATTACCCTTCTTCTGCTTCAGGGAGGACATTAACCTCTTCAAGCCCCTCAGTGTGTCTCACTGTACTGCCCATGTTTGTGTCTGACAAAATATTTTGAGTGTGTGTGTGCGTGTGTGTGTGTGTGTGTGTGTGTGTGGGTGTGTGTGTGTGTGTGTGTGTGTGTGTGTGTGTGTGTGCGTGTGTGCGTGTGCGTGTTTTACAAACATTGTAACAGTCGGTTGACTTTGTAGCGTACGTGTTCTCTTTGACGTTCGAGTTTGAGGCCTGTAGCGCTGTTTGACAAACTGACCTTGTAAATATAGTCGAAGATGTAGTCTTAAATTATCTGATTGTGAGCAATTTTGAAGCAATTGTCTCTTTATATGACTGATTAATAAAGGAGATACACCAGCCTGGGTCCACGAATCTTAATCTGTCACAAAAGTTATGTTCATTTTTTAAAAAAAAGGAAGGAATTAAAAAGTGAGCATATCAAAATGCATGTGAACAAAAAAAAGCGAGATATGGTCAAGGGTGCCGCTTGAGAATGTAAATCTAAAACAACAGCACCCTCTTGTGGTCCCACATGCGTACGCACCCATGTTATGAAACCTTTCGCGATTGGATGGATGGATAAACAAACACAATTAATTTAACCATTTGAAAATAGTTACAGTGATTGTTCACTTGACAATGTGTTGAATAAGAATAAGGGTTATGATCCTGACTTTCTCACAGCTATTCTGAATTGTTGTGACCATCATGACCCACATTTTTTTAAAGAACACTGTCTACTCCAGTCACAACTACAGACTTCGATTACACAAACACGCCGAGGTAACATACGGTCTAAACTGCTGGTTATGGTTGTTGTTCATGACAAAAGTACACATTTTCCTAATTGTTCATGAGAAAAAATTCTAAATATTTGGGATTTGTGTCCACGTGCTAAAACGTTTATCACCTTAACATATTTAGTCTGGGAGGGATAATCCGCTTTACATCATTGATCATTCATAACTCATAACTACAAACGTTTTACAAAACAGACATGGAAAGCACACATAATGCTTGCTTGTGTAAAAATTGTCTCAGGCCACATGGTAGGTACAGTTTCCCTCAGAAGGCCGTTTTGACTGTGAAACCATACAAATGTTTGACATCATATTATTACATATACGCCACTAATGGATGGATAATTCATTTTCAAATTTAAAGTCAAGGATAATACAGTAGTTGTTGAAATGTTAAATGTTTCCTCAATATACCACATTGTAGGCAAATGGCTTGAGATGTAAAGTCATTGGACAAGATCAATTTGATTTGGTATGTATCACAAACATGACAGCACTTGTGGGTTTTGGGGAAAGTGCCACTGGCATACTTCCTGTGTGTGTATTGTATTAGAGCAGACTGAAAGAACACAACAAATCTAACAAATCTCACTTTTTCTGTATTTGTGAGTTGAGTGTGGAACCCACAACCTTTCCGCGGGGGGGAACCCCCCCCCCCCCCCGAAAAAAAATAAACATTTATAATGGCGGTCAACTATGCACGGATTTTCGCTATTCACAGCCCGGCCCGGTCCCTGATCCCGCGAATAACGGGGGTCGGCGGTTCGGAATTGCAACGTTTTCTACTGCGCAAATCACAATTCTTCGTCTGAGTAGAATTATGAACGCTCACGGGTTCGTCACTCACTTTCTGACATCAGACAAAAAAACTTGACCTATTGGTGCCGCCAAGCGTCTGACTAAATCCTAATCCGGTTATATAAAACGTCGATCCATTCGGTACTACACCACACGACAAAGTTGTCCCTGGTGGCAGCACCATGATCATCATCGTGGACCTGCTACTGATGCTCATCGACCTGACCTACGCCATCCTGGCCGCCGTGGTGCAGACGTTCCTGCGGCCGAGGCTGAAAAGCATCGACGGGGAGCTATGCCTGATCACCGGGGCCGGGGGTGCCCTGGGTCGCCTATTCGCCCTGGAGTTCGCCAAGGAGGGCGCCCGCCTGGTTCTGTGGGATTGCAACGCGGCCGCCAACGAGCGCACCGCCCAGCTGGCCCGGGAGCTGGGTGTCAAGGTGCACGCCTATACGGTGGACCTGTCCCGGCGGGAGAGCATCTACGAGACGGCGGGGCGGGTGAAGACGGAGGTCGGGGACGTGTCCATGCTGGTCAATAACGCGGGCGTGGTGGCCGGCAGGAGGCTACTCGAATGCCCCGATGAGCTTTTGGAACGCACCCTGCTCGTCAACTGCCACGCTTTGTTCTGGGTGAGTTTCGACCCGGCGACACAAATAGCCCGATACTTATGAGCAGACTGGGCAAAAGTACTTTGCAAAACAATATTATATAAGTATGTGTGTCAAATGTAAGTTCACAACGTTTTTCAAGTCAAATTAAAAGTTTTATAAAGGTACAAGTAAGCAAGTACAGTCTCTGAAATGTGCGTCGGTGTACAGTCAGTTACCTGTATATACTGTAATACCAGTGGTGTGACATAACGAGGTATAAATACTCCATTACTGTACTTAAGTAGTTTTCAGGTATCTCTGGTTTACTTGAGTATTTATTTTTTGACTTTTTGACCTGAAACACCTCCCTATACACCTCATTCTTATGTGGGTCCATGCTGGGGAAACCATACGAACCATCTACTCGCTTGACATGAGTTATGTAACATCTATTCAGTTGGTATTTGTGCACTAGAGTGTGAAGGAAGCACGCGCTCCAACATATCCCCCGTGAGGCCTTAATGGTCATTGTGTCTATAGGAGGCAGTTTCCTGTGCAGCGAGGCTGGGCAAATCTTTGTGCTCAATGCTTAAGGGCCATGTATACGGTGCCCACCTTTTCTGTGTAGCGCTGGTGCTCACGAAAACATCCAGTTAAAGCATGTGAATCTAACGATGATCCTCTTACAGCTCCGGTCTTGTGCTAAAATATGAAAGCTCATTGTAACGGCACAACACACATAGTGGGATTTAGCGATCATAACATTAGGCACTCCAGCACAATCTCGTGACAGGCAAGAGACATGTTTAATATGTTGTCCCTCTCACGCCATGTTCACTACTGTATAAGCAAAACTGTACAGAATGTAGACAGAACACCTTAAGTGCAATACTCAAACCATACGACAAGAGTAACATTTTCTTTCTAACGCAGATGACCAAGGCCTTCTTGCCTCAGATGAAAGCAAAGAACCACGGTCACATCGTAACCGTTGCCAGTGCCCTTGGCCTCTTCAGCACCGCATGTGTGGAGGTAAGACAAAAGAGTTTCAAGACTTCTCAAAAGGAGGCATTCTCAAAGTGGTGGTCAAGTAGCACCACACAAGATCGCCCTCGTGGTACATGACAGTCACAGACTTAAAAAGTTCAAACTGTACCTGTTGGTGTCAGACATTTTTTTTAACCCAGTACATTACATTTAAGTACAGTTCGGTTGTAGTTATTTACCTTTTAGATACAATGCACAATTTCAATTTAATTTATCAGGCGGTGGAAGTTAGGAGTGACTCGTGCGAAGACAGTAAGTGAATCATAGCTACATGGATGGTGCCCCCACCATTGTTTTAATTTTTAATACGATACCGATGACCAGAAATGCCTTAAGATATCGACACACTTTCTGCAGGATTACTGTGCCAGTAAATTTGGGGCGGTCGGTTTCCACGAGTCACTGACCCACGAGTTGCTGGCAGAGGAACTGGATGGAATTAAAACCACGCTAGTTTGTCCTTACATCGTGGACACGGGGATGTTCGCAGGCTGCGAAATAAGGTGAAATTCTAGAGCAGATTATTCTATTTTCAAGGTGACACAGTTCTATAAATAAATGTGGACTTTCAGGAAGGAGCTTCGCAGTCTAATCCCACCTCTGGAGCCTCTGTACACCGTTCAACAGTCCATGACAGCAATTTTGGCAGAACAGCAAATGATCTGCATCCCTCGCCTTATGTACATCCCATTTTTGACACGAGCGTAAGTGCAGCTCATTTTTCACACTAACTCCTCGACAGCTGAATATAACCGTCTTGGGATCACGGGCGGCAACTTATGCTGTTGTACTCTCTTCCTCTGTAGTTTATTACCATGGGACGCAAACCTTGCCACGTATCGCTTCATGGGAGGAGACAAATGTATGCTGCCCTTCATCAAGAACGTTGAACAAAGGATATGCAACGGCCATATCAAATCATCATGAGACTACGTTTGTTGTGTCTACACTATTTAATTGTTTTGGTTTTTTTTTTCCTTTTTTTTTGCTGTCATGGAATGTATGATTACAACAAATTTTAAGTGAGATCTATTTTTTACATGATATCTCAGAACTTGACAGTAATAAAACAGCGATCGGGTGGTTTCCATTTTTGGCCTAGTATATAAAACGAACAATTTTCAAGTCAGCAAAATGCAATTGAGTGTGTCTGACTTTGATCACCCCAACATAGTAGAACGTAAAATGATCATTTACATTTGAGAATGTGATGAAGAGACCCAAGGTAGGACAACCAAGTGATGAGGAGGCCATGACAAATCTATACAAGTGCCTCTTTTTTTTTTTTTATTCACATGATAAACAGTGTCAAAACAGACTAAACATGAATAAAGCTACAGGAAACATGCAACACAAAATTCAAAACATACAAAGAGCCAACTCAAAATCAGTTGTTCAGTTTCTTTTGCCAAAGCTGCTGGGGGATGGGGAGGGAGGTGGATTGATGGGACTTTTGGCCTCATGACAAACGCAAGAGTTCGAAAGCAGAATCGTATGTGTTAGGCTAGCGTTTGGTCATGTCTTTAAAACACTTTAAAAAACAAATCATCACAATCGGAGAAAACCCAAAGATGTGTATGATTACCTGTGGGGGAATTCCACGGTTTGATGGTAGTCAAGTGTGTAAAGATTACGGCGTCCTTTTGAACGGAACAGCATTGTCTTTCAGACCAGTTGCACATTGGCTCCCTGTAAATAAGCCTGCAGGAACCGGAGGGCCTCGGCGTTCAGACTGCTACTCAGCATTGATGGAACCTGCACCCAAAAATGAACAATCAATTCCAGAACGCCCGATGTAAACGTTTCGCCCTCCGCGAGAAACATACCCTTCCCGGACAGGCTGTCGAAAGCTTGTGGAGCGAATGGGCCAACAATATTTTCGGGTTGCTGACAGCATCTCCGATAGGGTCATGCTCCTTCTTCCCAGCAAAGGCCAGCTGTGAGAAAGCAGTCTGATAGCCGGGTGTGTCTTCAATGTCGATGAAATGCTCGTCGTCCGGGATGCTGTCGTCTTCGGGCAGCTCAAAGAGACCAATGAGGGCCTGGAGCAGCGGGGGCCTGACACAACGCAGAATCCGTTAACTAGGTTGGCCATTTCAGGAATGTCATTTTGTAAGGACCGGAGTATCAGCCATTTATTTCATAAAACGCCGCACACACTTGGACTAAAACAAATACAGGAGGTAAATGCAAAAGGGGCTGACTGCTTACCAGAGCTTCGTGTACTCCGTGTCCATCATGGCGGGACATTCAGTGAGGACTTTTGTGATTCCAACAGCACAGATCTTTTTCTCAACTGTTCCAGACACTTTCTGAACCTCCGGAATAACGATTTTCTCCAAGACCATGCCGAACATTCTGTCCAAAACAGATGAGATTTCGCAACTTTGGGACACGATACGTTGAATAACACCGATTAAGTTTCCATTTTTAATCGAAAGCTAAGTAGAGGTTATTGTAACGGTGACTTGTTCGAATGAGACTTACTTGGGCTGGATGCTGTCAAAAATCTCCTGAAGCGCAATCGCGCCGTACTTGACACAATACAGGTTGACAAATACCAAGAAACCTGCGAGTATTAGAAAGAAAGAAAAAAAAAAAGGGGGATCATTTAGGACTGTTGGTCAACTGCTGTGTTCATTGACATGACTAGGCCGACGCTTTGGAAGGTTCATGAGGTGAAGCGAAATGACTGCACTCACTCTTGATGAACTTAGTGGTTTTGGAGCTTTGCAGTCTCTGGAAAAGCAGAATGAAGATTTGTTTCCTGTACTGAATGAGGGATTCTCTGGCAAAAACAACAGAAAGGAAAACATCATGACCAGTCGAGCAGAGTCGTCACCACTCAAAGTGCAAAAGGGGGCTGAGACGAGAGCCGACTTACGGGGGCATGTGCTCGATAATACTGTTGAGCAGGTAGAATCCTTGGTGGTCGTTGGCCTTGGAGGCAATAAGTTTTTGGAAAACACCGAGCAGTCCAGGCTGAAGAGAAAAAAGATCAAGTCAACTACATTTAAGTGTCCATTCACTGCCTCGACTAATTGATTTATGTGCTCAAAACATTCGGTACACACTTATGATAGGCATAAGATCCATATACAAATGTTTCGCTTTGAGGGTGCTCATCACAATGAGCGGCAAATGCTCTTCACTAGATGATGGAAAGTACAAAACACATACCAGTATAGCCACTTTTTGTTAATCGCTTTGCAAAGTGCTGTGCCGTAACTTTATTTCCTCACTCGATGTGAAATAGGCTAGATCCGATATTTTCCTAAATATATTATTTTTCACATTAAGCCTATTTAATTTTGTGGGGTTTTTTTTTTGGTCAGATATCATATTTGTCTTTTTGAGGACAAATATCAAACATTATGGCTATCTTGTGTACCAAACTGCCATGTCACGTACTATTTTATCAGCAGCAGATGCAGCAATAGTGGCTCCTCCTTTTTCCATGTAGGCCTGAAGCAGGCGCACCAGAGGCGGGATGTTGCCCGTGCGCTCCCACAACACAGGCTGCAGCAGGTGAGGGAATAAAGCCATGTAGGAAGAGGGAATCGAGTTGGAATGCATCTCCAGGAGGAGAGACATCACCTGGAATACGTACGGCAGAAACTCTGCAAAACAAAGTCGAAAAGTGGAGATGAACTCACGCGCCTCAGTCGGCCAACGGTAACTGTATGTCTGCAAAGATGTTATCTGGGTAACAAAAACGTTGATGGCGGAAACGGACCCTGGACGTCGTTCTGGAGGATCTCCGTGAAAACTGGGAAGAGAGCTTCCTCGAAGCTGCCAACGGTGGCGGGGTTCGCCTTGCAGGTGATCCGGACAGACAGGCAGAGAGACTCAAACAGGTAGTGGTTAAAGTGAGGCTTGCTGGGGTTCTGAGAGGGACAAATCAAAACACTCGATTATATTTCCGAATACGAACCGAGCATTTCTGCGCAAGTCTCATAACAGCGAGTGAGTGCAGGGTTACCTTGCTGACTAAAAGAAGCTTCTGAGTGAGCTGATCGATGAGAGTGGGAATGTAAGGAACGATGGATTCCTGGAGCAGTGAGAAGCTGCGCATGATGGCTTGGGAAGAAGAAAAAAAAAAAAAAAAAAAAAAGAGATAAGGAAACAAAGGCAACGTCAAATAAATGTGCAGATGCTTGCTCGGTGAGAGTATATAGCGGACAAAGGCTAGCACACCTTTCATGATGTATTCATTTTCGGAAGAACCAGGAAGTGCCATCGCCTTGAACAGGTTGGTGAGGAGCATCTCAGTAAAAGGAGCCATCTCGACAGCAGTGATGCTGAAAAACAAGAAGTCCAAAAAAGAGGACTTGTACCACATCTTGACCATTATCGGGACATGGAGGATTACGTAAGTTGCAGCTCGACACTCACAGTGTTGTGTTGTTTGGGCCCCTCATAGTAAACAGCCTCTCCAAAGCGTGCGCAGCATACGTGTGTTCCACAGTGCTCTCTGCCTGCAAGTGGGTGATCAAGAGAGGAACAGCCTGCAGCAGTTGCTCCTTCGGTAGCTGAAAGAGAAGCCCGAGTGAGTCGCTCGGCATCGGGATATGCGCACGCCATGGAGACTGCTCGAGTTTCGGCATACCTGGCTTCGGAAGATCATCACGTACTTGATGGCATCTGCCTTCAAGACTGGGAACTCATTAACTGCAATGATAATATCAAAAGCCTTGGATATTCATGTCAAAAGACATACAGTTCTTACATAACAATTACATTTTGGCCACGTCATTTTGCATATACCAGGGGTCGGCAACCCAAAATGTTGAAAGAGCCATATTGGACCAAAAAAAAAAAAAAAAAAACGTCTGGAGCCGAAAAAAAAAGAGCCTTATATTAGCCTTATAATGAAGGAAACACATGCTGTATGTATCGATATTAGCTATATTAGCCTACTATGAAAATGACTAAGTTGGCTACAAAGGGAGCCACTAGGGCGGCGCTAAAGAGCCGCATGAAGCTCTGGTGCCGCTGGTTACCGACCCCCGGTATATCCCATTGATTGTTTAAAATAACCTTTCGCTCGTTGCAGATTAGTTCGAGCATGCTTTCTGAAACAGCCTGCGAAAAGCTGGCGCAAAAATGCATTCGAGTGACCAAACCGATGCATTGCAGACATTTGCCATAGCGTGCATGTATTTAAGTGCAAGGTGAGGAGACGTCTTACCATTTGTGGATTTGAGGTCTGTGAGAATGTGATTCACAAAGAACTCGGTCAAATTCACCAATTCGTTGGCTTGAGTTATTCCATGCTGGGGGAAAAAAAATAAATAAAGAGCTGATGATGCAAACGCAACCGGTCGAGAATAGATGAACAAAAGTATCAATACCTTCTGTGTCTGAGCTTTGGATGCCAGTGACGTGACTAAATAGATGGCGGCATCTTTGTGCTTCCAGTTGGCGCCGGGGTTCTTTGCGTACTCGGCCAGCATCGAGTTGACATATCCCGAGAAGATGGCTGTGACCGGGCCCTCGAAAAACTTACACAGACCCCTGACCAAGTCACAAGCCGCCCGACGGCGAGTGTCAATGTCTGAGAAGAGACGAAGGCCACGCATGGATAATATAGAACACAAAACGATAAATATACCGAACAAGTTTTTTTTTTCCTCATCTAGCATCATTACTTGAACGCAGCTTAATGAGCAATAAAAATAACACTTGGCAATGAAAAAATGAATCTATTTTGAATTTCAAACAGTTGAATAAATCATCCGACATTACCAGAGCCTTCAAGGTCCCTCCGGATGTATTCTTCAGAGTTGTCTTCAAAAGCCTCCTCATCCGCGCCTAATCAAATATTGTAGCGTCGTGAGTCCCAAGAAATCCAAGAGCGCATTGGAATTCGAGCTCATTTCCGCACACCATCAAAGACTACAAATAAATCCGTCACTTACTTCTGAACTCCATGTTGGGCACAATGACCTTCTCGCAAATGCTAGTGAGCGTATTCTGATCCTCAAAGAGATTTTTGTAGTGTGGCCGTTCACACACCGAGGCCA